CCTCGCTCTCTCTCTCTCCAATCCGGACCGTCACCCTGGATACACCCACTCAGATATCTTACACTTGGCGGATATGGCCGCAGTCCTCCTGCTCTACGACTATCCGCTATGGACTATCTCTCAGGCGCCCTCTTCTACTCCAGGCGCACAGTGCCCAAGTGGGCAAGTTGCCCTAATGCACAAGCAGCAGCAGCAGCAGCGCTTCCGCATCTCGCAACTGATTAAGTGACGAGTCGCTGCACTGTAGCAACTAGATACAGGACTTGTCTTCACTTCACTTGCTTCGCTTGGCCTGCTTCAGACCGGTACCGGTCAGCAGCGGCCTGTCTGCTGCAAACATTTAGTCGATCCGGTACCTTCCGGACTTTCTGGCGCATGCTGCAAAATTGGAAGCTTCTAAATTTTCCTTGTCGGGTATCGGCAGACCCCTACCGACCTATGACGTTTCGGTACTGACAACTACAGACCTACGACACTTTGACCTCTAAGCCCTACGGCCTACCCTACGGCACGGCCCTGGGTCTTGGGACTTGTTAGGACATTGGGTGTCTGCAGCATAAATCCTTTCATCTTTTTCTTCCTTTTTTTTTGTTTTTAACAGAATGTAGCATTTTATCGGAGTGTTCAGGGTTGCATACCTGCCGACTGCCGACCCCGACTACCGACCGTACTGCAGCCGACCAGTTGGCGGTCTCTGCCAACCAGTCAGAAAACAATCATCCACTGATTTTTTTTCAAATCTGAGTTGGGGGCTGTACTGCGCTTGCTTTAGTACAGCCCAAATCCGCTAAGAAACTTTTGGGGATGGGGGGGTTGCATACCTGCCGACCGCCGACCCCGACCGCCGACCGTATTGCAGCCGACCAGTCGGCGGTCTGCCGACCAGTCAGAAAACAACCACCCACTGTTTTTTTTCCAAATCTGAGTTGGGGGCTGTATGGCACTTGCTTAGTACAGCCCAAATCCGCTGAGAAACTTTTTGGGATGGGGGGGGTATGGGGCGGGTTGGGGGGCGTATAGGGGGGTATAGGGGTGGTATAGGTGCAATCAGACTCGTTCTCATTCACACTTTTTATGCATGTAAACAGTAGCGCAGCAAACTGGCGACATGCACCCACTCAAAACTCAAAGATATGGCATCCAGATACGAGTTCACTTTCAACTGGCTATGGCGACTCAGCGCCCAAACAACTCACTGTTCACGTACACTGGATCGCCCTGGATATCCCACACGCAAACCTCTGAACTCTCTCACACACACACTGCACTCATCTACAGCTATGGTGGCACTAGCCGCTGCTACCCTATCGCTATGCTAACCTCCTCCTCTCTCACCCACTGCGTCCTCCGGGCTCACTGCAGACCTCCTTGCACAAGTCGCTGTGGCAGCGCTTCCGCATGGCTCACGCAGGAATGAATGGAAGGCTGGGCGCTGCCTCTTGATTTATACTTCTGAAACTCGGTGGTCTGCCCCTTTCCATCGGCCCATGGTGCTCACAGTCCCTCGTGGTACTTGCTGGACCGGACTGGGACTGACTGGACCTTATCGCTGACTGACTGTGGACTCACTGCTAACCTACCATAGTCGTACTGCAATTGCACTGCAGTTCAGTCCACCACTTGACTCACCACTTGACCACTTGCCCACTTGCTGACCTTCTAGAAGGACTACAGCTAGACATCTGGAACTCACTAAGACTTCTATCCTACAGATCTACAGATCGAACCCCTACCACCTACGGACCTAGGACAGCCTACCAACTGTCTATGAATACACACAGGTCACAGGTTCAACTCTCGGGGTTTACACAGATACTGTACATGGGTAGGGGGAGGTCTAGGGATCGAGCCCTGGGTTCTGCATCTGTTACTGCAAAAGGTGAAAACCGTTTCATAGGGGGTATTGGGGGGGGTAACGAGGGTGTAGGGGGCAGTTTGGGGGTGTTGGAGGGTGGGGGGTGTAGGTATTGGGGGCTGCTATGCGGGTGTTGGTGGGTTATTTGGGGTTTTGGGGTTCTGGACCCAAAAATATAAAAAAAATATAAAATTATCTCTACAGAGTCTATACTCTTTAAAACTACAACGGTCCCACCGTAATGGGCGGACGTGGTGTCGCACTATTTCCAGTCAGGCGACTTCAAGCGACCGAAAAGCCAACAGGCTGTCACACAGGATTTTGTGCAAGGAAGATGAGCAATAGCGAATTCCAGAAACCAAACAGCATCATACACATAAGACCAGATAGTCATGACCTCGAACCAAAAGCAGAATTGCATCACGAGTTCCACCAAATAAGTGCACAGCAAAAGCTCACAGGTGACAATGTGCGAGTAGTCCCATCATCATCAACAATGAACCAATTTCGATATCCTATCTGGCGCTCGGCGCCCAGACTACGAATGGCAGATCCTATCTGGCCTATCTACAATGTCGCTGGTGACGTCAACAGCTCCCCGAAGTACGAGCAGATCTCGGCCAATGCCGTTCGCCTCAAGCACCAGGTATGTCTCTTGTATCACTCACAACCTCGATTCCCAACTCACAGATGCCACATGCACCCAAGGACCACCATGCGCCCCATCCAGCATACAGCAGTGCAGCTCGGCTATGGCTGCCTGCCCATCCAGCTCACCCGTGAACGCGTGAGCGCCGGCCAGCGTTAGCGCCGCAGCGCTTGCGCAGCATGCAGCCAGTGCCCGAATGAGGAATGCGTGGGCAGGCACTTTCCTAAATGGAAATTGCCTGCCTGCTGCGCGAAGCCTGGCTGTGCTGGGCCCCTACCCAGAAGCTTCCGGTAGGCCCAGAGAGGATGTGCCCCAGTCCACACGACTCAGGCCCTGGGCCTCTGGTAGTTGCCTGTGTCCAACTGCCCTTGGGCTGTGTTTGTCCATGTTGTGTATCTGGCCCAGGGCCCGCCTCAGTTACATACGGAAAAAGGCAGCCTGGGCCTGGGCACTTTCAACCAACTGGCGCTGCGCAACTGCCTGAATTTACCGTGGTGCGGTGACCCCAAAATAGGCCTGTTGGCCCTGGGTCGAGCCTGCCTTCACTTAGGGCGGCTGACTGTACAGAAAATAGGGCCCAGTAGGGCAGATCGAGGCCTTGAGCCTCGCATTCCCTCCTCCATACTTCGATAGTCCTCTGAGAAGTCTGATTACTCAATCTGGCGCTTTACTTTCTGCAGCAACTTCTCATATTGCGCGACAGCCTGTGGAGCGGTCTGCATCAGTTCCTCCCGAGTGAACCGTCTGTCCTCCTTAGGATCAATGTGATGCCTGAACCGAACGAGGTACTGCAGCTTCGGTTTAGGAGGACGTCCCCTGCCTGTCGGTCTTGGAACTGGCATTTCTCTGTGGTCCACGATGTCATCGATATCGACCTCTCCATCAATGGTTGGGGGCAGCATCGAGCGTCGCGAGGGAAACTGATCAGTTTCCTTGGATGGTGCAAGCTTAGAGGTGTGAAAGACAGGGTAAGTGCGAAGATAACCAGGGATTCAAATTACATATGATGGCCCATCCGGATCCTCCCCAACAATATCAAGAACCTCCCAAGGTCCAAAGTACTGTGGCATGAGCTTGCGGGATATCCCGTGCTACTGTCCCAGTTCTGAGGGCTTGATCCAGACTCTGCCGCCTACCTGAAATGTAGACCGGCGGCGGTGTTTGTTCTCAGACTCTATCATTGCCGCCTGTACCTTGTGCATCTGTTCGAATGCCTGCTGCATCAGTTGCTCATATCGATAGGCAAACTCTAGTGTGCCTGGTGCAGCAGTTGGCTGGTTCTCAGGTAGCAGAAAGTCTAGGGGCACTCTAGGCTTGAAAGTCAGTAGAAGACTGTTAGGGCTCACCCCAGTGGCATTGTGAGCAGCATTGTTGTACAGGCTGGCCATGGGAGCAAGTTTCTCATCCCAGTCCACCTGATTGGGCTTAATGTAGTGCCGCAACAAGTGTTGTACAACGCGGTTCAGCTGCTCTGCTTGCCCGTTTGCCTCTGGGTGGTTCCCAGAAGTGCAGTTGTGTTCCCTGTTCTGCAGCTGCAGCCTTCCACAACTCACCGGTAAATCGCACACCCCGGTCACTTACAATGGACTTTGGAAGCCCAAAGTCTTTGACCCAGTTTTCTTTAAACAGCTTAATCACATACTCCGTCTTGGCTGTAGCGGGCATTGCAACTAACCTAGCATACTTACTAAACCTATCCACAATGACATAAACATATCTCATTCCACTCTTGCTGGTGACCAGCGTGTCCATAAAATCCATAGACAGGCTCTCGCACCGGGCCTTTCCGGAATCGGAAGGGGCTTAAGAAGCCCAAGAGGGGCCTGGGTACGTGGCTTGTCTCTCTGACATAGCTGACAAGTTTCCACGTACAGCTTCACATCTCTCATCATTGTGGGCCACCAGAACCGCAGCGACATATTTACTGCAGTCTTCCTATACCCAAAATGTCTGGTGGCATCATGCCACTCGCCTAAAAATAAACTACGCAAAGACTCCCGATTTGGTCTTGATGCTGCCACTCAATATTTATTAAATCGTGGCGCGAGACTAACGGAAGTGTTGAAACAACCACAATATAGTCCAATCTCGATTGAAAAGCAAGTCGTCGTTATTTATGCGGTTGTCAAAGGTTATTTAGATCAAATTCAGATTTCTCAGATTCTTAAATATGAACAAGAGTTGTTGAACACACAAAGTTTATTCCCGGCCTTCTCGAGGGACGACAGGCCATTGATCAACTCAAACTCGGCAGAAGTCACTTTGTCCTTCGCCTCGAGTCTGCGTATGATCTCAACCATAAACCGATCCTCGCGGTAGGCTTCCACCAAGGATCGAGTAACATCGTCCGCAAGCCCAAACTCAGTGATCAGCGCATCAGAGAAGTCTGGCCTACGCAACAGTGCGTCAACAACTTTGTTGTACTCACCTTTGAGGTACTCGGACTCGAAGTCATACTGCTCAATGACTTCGATCCAGGGTTTCAGCGCATCGGAGAGCACATGTGGGGTCCTTATCCACTTCAGGGTGTGATGATCAGTCCTGACGATGAAAAACCTCCCAAGGAGGTAGTGCCTCCAATGGGTTAGCGCTTTATAGATCGCATAGAGCTCCTTCTCATAGGTGGACTTGGCCAACTTTTGAGAGGGTATCTTTTTAGACATGTACTCAACAAGCCTCAACTTTGGCCCCTCCTGCTGCGCGAGCACGGTGCCTATGCCATATTGGCTAACATCCGTGGTAACTATAAACGGCTTGTCAGGATAAGGAAGTTTCAAGACCTCATGGTGTGTCAGAGCATGCTTCAGATGTCTGAAAGCAGCCTCACACCTATTCATCCACTCCCATGGGGTGTCAAGGCGAGTCATGTCCGTCAAAGGGGCGACTACTATGCTATAGTTCTTCACAAAATTGCGATAGTAGTCGGTCATCCCTATGAAGGGCCTCCTCTCAGTCACAGACTTAGGAGGCTAGTCACAAATGCTGGCCACCTTCGCATCATCGGGCTTCAATCCCTCCGCGGAAGTCTAATGACCCAAGTACAAGATCCGGGTGCGACCAAACTCGCATTTCTCCCCGTTGATCTTGAACTTGTGTTGCCGAAGGAGACTGAGGACTTTGTCTAAATGCGCTACATGGTCCTCGACAGTCCTACTAAAAATAAGTATGTCATCGAGGTACACGATGACAAACTTATCCAAGTAGTCATCAAAGATCAGATTCATAGCGTGCTGAAAGGTGCCAGGAGCATTACAAAGGCCAAAAGGCATCACCACAAACTCGTACAGACCGTACCTGGTCTGAAATGCTGTGCTGATCCTCGGGCCGTATTGCAATCTGATGGTAGATCTATCTTACTGAAGTACCGACACTCTTGCACTCGGTCCAACAAGTCATCGATGCGCGGGAGGGGCTCTTTGTTCTTGACAGTGATGGCATTGAGGCCCCTATAGTCAATGCACATCCTCAAAATTACCCCCTTCTTCGGTGCGTGCGTGTCTAAAGGTGTGCACACGGCCCACCCTTGTGCACCGAGTCCTGCTGAGCTGGGCAGCCCTGCACCGTGTTTACCCTCGCATGCAGCGAGCCTTACACCGACCTATTGGCCGATCAAGAGGCCTTTTTATGGATGGTCCCTAAAGTCCTCAGGAATTATTTAGCGTCGCAAACAAGACGACGATCACGACCAATGGAACGTCCCCGCCGGTACTTATTTATAGACGCCCGGTACTCGTCTTTCCCATAGGGCTGGCCTGCCCCTCAGAACCCATCTATAACGTAGGACAAAGCAGCAAAGCATGCGTGCTCTACTCCCGGTGGGTTGGCATGGTGACCGTGACCCGGTGCTTCATCCAGGGCCCTTCAGATAGCTCCGCCCTCTCCTTCCAGTTGAGCGCACTCGACTCCTCACAATGAGAGGACTCTCAAGACAGAACACACATCATCACGGTAAGAAGTGTCGAAGAGGGTAGATAAGGTTAGGTGCAACATACCTCAAAATAGTTGCCCCCAACCACAAATATTCTCACCAGATGACCCAATGTTGATTGTGATGACCAATCGCTGCTTCGACACAACCAGCACTACACTGTCCACCTCAGCATCAATCACACATCGGATAGTTATCATCACACTGCGAAAAACCCAATAACCACCACATAGCCTTCTTGGCGATCCCCTCTCCACCTGGGTCGCCTGCTTATCTTCGCCCTCCTCACTACACACTTCCTACGGCAGCTCACTTAGCATACCGCATGCATGTACCGCATAGGCAAAAGACAAACGCCAAATTAGCGCACCGTACCACAACTCTGATACCAAATTGCAAGGAAGATGAGCAATAGCGAATTCCAAAAACCAAACAACATCATACACATGAGACCAGATAGCCGTGACCTCGAACCAAAAGTAGAATTGCATCACGAGTTCCACCAAATAAGAGCACAACAAAGGCTCACAAGTCACAATGTGCATGTAGTCTCATCATCATCAACAATGAACCAACATCGATATCCTATCTGGCGCTCAGCGCCCAGACTACGAATGGCAGATCCTATCTAGCCTATCTACAATGCCGCTGGTGACGTCAACAACTCCTCGAAGTACGAGCAGATCTCGGCCAATGTTGTTCGCCTCAAGCACCAGGTATGTCTCTCATATCACTCACAACCTCGATCCCCACCTCACAGATGCCACATGCACCCAAGAATCACCATGCGCCCCATCCAGCATACAGCAGCGCAACTCGGCTATGGCTGTCTGCCCATCCAGCTCGCCCGTGCACGCGTGAGTGCTGGCCAGCGTTAGAGCAACAACACTTGTGCAGCATGCAGCCAGTGCGCGAATGAGGATTGCGTGGACAGGCACTTTCCTAAATGGAAATTGCCTGCCTGCTGCATAAAGCCTGGCTGCGTTGGGCCCCTACCCAGAAGCTTCCGGTAGGCCCAGAGAGGTTGTGCCCCAGTCCACACGAATCAGGCCCTGGGCCTCTGGTCGTTGCCCGTGTCCAACTGCCCTTGGCCTGTATTCGTCCATGTTGCGTATCTGGCCCAGGGCCTGCCTCAGTTACATATGGAAAAAGGCAGTCTGGGCCTGGGCGCTTTCAACCAATTGGCGCTGCGCAACTGCCTGAATTTATTTTGTTACCCGGTGACCCCAAAATAGGCCTGTTGGCCCTGGGTCGAGCCTGCCTTCACTTAGGGCGGTCGACTGTACAGAAAATAGGGCCCAGTAGGCCTTCAGCCTCGCATTTGTAAAACTTTGAAATAAATAAATAAATTAAATTAAGCAAATCCCTTCCTGTTGTGTGCATCCGGCTTTGAGCAAGACCCTTCAATTGCGGTCTTCGCCGGTCCCCGATCTTAGGAATCTTTTATTTTGATTCGGAACAGCAAAGATCATGCAAATGATAAATTGATAATTATAAAATTTCGGTGTTCCATGCATATATCAATTCTGCCAATTTACTAATTTTGAGAACTGTGACCGACTCATCAGGAAGCATAATCATCAAGCGAAGTCGATGCAAATGAAGCAGGATTGACCGACTCAAGACAGAGACAAGATAAACGAGGGAAAAGTGAGACTCATAATAATCTCATAAAGTTCAAATGAATAGACATGGCCAGCACTCATCAAGTGTCCTCTTATCCCTCTAAGGTATTGACCTCGATTTCTCATTTGGCTGTGCGTCTCTTGTGCCTTGAGCCATGTCCACGTACTTCTTGAGACTGTGGCCTATGAATGTAGAGCCACTTGAAGCCTACAAGTTCCGAACACTTTCATCCAAGGCTCATAGCACATAATTCCTCCCATAATGTGGGAGATATGGCTGGGAGAAAATCCGTCGTCTGAGGTGTCAAAATTTTGAAGGTTCAGTTACCGCCTCATAGTCAATGTCTGCAGGGGAGATATACCTCTTAGTAAGATCCACCAGGTCACCCCAGTAGGAACTGTCTGTGAGAAGGGCGGGCACTAGAGGCTTGGGGTAGTCAATGTAGAGCTTGGGTCCAAAGCTACGGGTCAACTTTGTGCCACTCTCATTAATCTCTTTCTCTTTCTCCTCGAGATATTTTGCTGCAAAGTTCCATACAAAGTCAAATTGTTCATGAGTCTCTTTCGTTTGCAGACAACCAGTGCCCAAGATAGATGACGTTGTCCCTTCCAAACTCAGACTTCTCTACGTTGGGATGCAGTTGTGCCTCCTTGAGGACCTGCAAAACCTCCTCAAGGTGCTTGACGTGCTCTTCCATGGACTTGCTGAAAATCACGATGTCATCCTTCCATGGACTTGCTGAAAATCACGATGTCATCGAGGTAAACAACAACAAACCTGTTAAGCTGATGGCAGAGGACCTTGTCCATGAGGCACTGAAACGTGGCTGGTGCATTCGTAAGACCGAAGGGCATAATGATGCATTCGTACAACCCATCGCGTGTTTTCAATGCCGTTTTGTGCTGGTCACTCGGATCAACTTCAATTTGGTGGAAGCTAGATTTGAGGTCGATCTTGGAGAAGACCTTGCACCCACCT